TACAGCTGCCTGTTCGGTTCGTCCGGTGAATCAGTCGACTTTATTTTTTCTATTTATCTGGTGAGATGCTTTGACACGCTGTTTGTTTTCCTGTTTATTTACATATGCTTTTTACACTCAGTTTCTCATGTGGTCATCCGGTTTTCGTTTCACGTGTCCATTACTTGAGTGTTTTCTATGTTTCTATGTTCAGTGTCCATTCGAAGTCGGAGCAAAACCTGAGGCGTTACGAAGAATCCTTGGGGAAATGGCCTTCGGCTAAGTAAATGAAAGTCGCAGTAGGCTGCAGATTATTTCACTGCCAAAAGCAGGGAGCTAGGCAACGAATGAATGAAAATGGCCTGTTGTATACTACCTCGAATTTAAGAATTCAAGTATCTTGGTCCCATCTTTCGATGCAATGAGGGAAATCGTCAGTTAATTAATAAATGGTTCGATGAAAGCGTGGTTCAAATGGAAAGAAATTAGCAGCGTACTGTACAGTAAAAAACCACAGGGTTAGGTGTACTGAACGATAGTAAGATCAATGCTTTTCTACGGAGCTGAATAGTTGGCTATTGTTGTTCGTTGAACTGCGTAAAAATGAAAATTGTCAGATTAGAGGTATTGGTGTAACCCCTTTATCACAAAAAGGGTTATATGTGGAATATGTTTATGATAAGTTTAAAAGTATCTGTTCGAAGGCAGGCTCAATTGATTCGGCCAGTTTAAAAGAAAATCCGACGAATAAATTGGAAATGTGGTCCAAGCACTGATACATAACGCGGCATATACGAAAGATAGGACCAACGAAGAGTTGGAACAGTATGAAAATGACAGCAAGAACTGAAAGTTTCACTAAAAACCGAAAAATATGCAGACATTTCATCCGAACAGATGACTGTGGTTAAAGAGATCACCGTGTTTAATTTTTGAAGATTGAATATTCGATTCATGTGCAGTGTGGTGTACTAGAAGAGGCACAAGGCTTGGTTTATTTATACACAACGCAAATCGTTCGATCAATCAGAAGATTCACCAGTATGGCTATCAGTGTTTCCGCCTCTTTCAAGGCAAAGAGATGAATGAGGTTCGGAAGTCTTTGTGGCCATCTTCTGTAGTTCACAGGCTCTGAGTCATAAGCCTTCAGTCCCTAATCCTACGACCTGCTGTAAATGACCAGTCA